GAGTTGCAACCAGAGTCACGGAACGGATTAAGTTCGTATCCCGAGGTACCACTGTACCAATTTCATAGAAGACAAACTGGTAGTATTCAGAGAAACACACAGTTAGAACAACCCACTGCATTATATATCATTCCCAAAAGTATACATAGAGATCACATCAAAAGAAACAACCATACCCAGCATTAAAAAAACCCAAAAAAACTGCCCACTTTCTGAAGCCACTTCTTAGGTCCCCAGGATGTCTGCTAGCTTACTGATCATGATCAGAACAAAGAACTGGCCTGCAGCCACCCACCATTCCTTATTTTGCAAGAATGCCTCTCGACCCTTGGAGCATGGAGATATTATTTATACAGATAGTTTGGAGACTTATAGAGTAAGTCCTCATCACAAACCCCTATCTTCAGGCTTTAATTACTAATGGAGGGAAGGGGTATCTCTTAAAATAGAATGTTCATTAAAATAGAATGGGATTTTACATATGTGTTTTATGTATTTTACATATGTAATATGGGAACGTGATTTCATGCAATGCAGAAAAGCATATACTTTAGGCAGAAATTGAAGTCTATTAACTAAGGTCACTTAAATCAATGCTGTATTTGTAATTCATTTGCAACATGCTAGGTTGCCAGGGTTTTTTTTTTTCCCCTCCCTTACTCAAATGTGATTTTAAAAAATTAAGAGTGATGAGAAATTTATGTGTATATGGCAAATAAACTCCATACAAAATTATTATTCAACAGTGTTGCTTGAGTGTCTGGTAAAAGTCACAATGAGATTGCACTGATGTTGCATGTGTCATGATGCAAATTAAGCAACTTATTTAATTATACCATTTTTATGCAAAATACCCCAAATACATAACTGGCATCATTATACGCATGTCGCTTCCTCACCACCACCACCACCAGAACCACCACCACCACCAGTGGGATGGCTATGATATCTCGATAAGTATTCAGAAATTCTAGGTTTCATATGCAAATCCACCTAAGTATACATAAAAAGAAAATGAAAACATGATTATGCAAGCTATATTGCCAAATCCTAGATCATAGTTTAGCTAGGGATGAGACAATCTAATAAACTTGGTTAAAATTGTTGTAAACCAGCAGCTGTCTAACT